TTTTGTTTATCAATTTTAAAAGCTATTTTGAAAACTGTTGTAAAAGTTAAAGATTATAAATTTGATTTTTAAAAGGTATAGACCAATATTTGTATTTTTTGTAAAAAAAAATTATTACGTTCGGCTTGCCTTCGATTTAAAACAATTAAATAAATATGAATTTTTTTAATTTTTAAATCACGAATATGCATAACATTAATAATTCTTGTGATTTTTTTTATTATATTGTTGTTGGACTATTGCTGCTACGGAACAATAGAATCCCTTTATAACATCAAAATATCCCTAAGTCGATGAGCCGTATTTATCTCCACAATTTTTTATAATTTTTGTAGATGATAACCTTTTAAATCAAAGTCAGCAAGATAGTAATGTGTACCATGGAAAAAGCTTTGTAATGGATAATTGAAAACGGAATAATGAAAGAGATTGATTGCCTGTTTACAAGCTCAAAAGATCCTAATAGTAATCGAATCGAAGTATTTCACCCCTATATTGAAGTTATAAATATAGTATTGTTTTTAAATTTCTGATTCTTAATGCCACCTAAAAATAATTAAATAAATAAACTTAAAAACAATACTATGTTTTTTAATTATTAATTTTAAAATTAATGTACACACGAAGTCAAAATTCCAATATCATTTTTTTTCTCTTTCCTCTGGCCCCACTTTTTATTTTTATTTTTTTCTTTTTAAATTTATTTTCTACCTTCAAGTTGACTAAAAAACTTTTATTAAAAAAGAAGAGAAAAAAAAGTTGACTTAAACCTACTCCGGCAACCCGCTCTGGTCTCTGGGTATGGCATTAAGAGTAGTATATTTTAATTATTAATTTTAAAACAAAAAATTAATTAATTTAATTTAGGTGGCGTTAAGAATGAAAGATTTTAAAAACAATACTATATTTATAACTCGAATAAAACATAGAGGTGAAGTACGTACTTGTTCCATTCAATGACTATTAAGATCTCTTAAGCTTGTGAACGGACAATCGATCTCTTTCACTTTCTCATTTCCAATTACCCATTCAAAGTTTTTTGTATTGTACACGTATGTTATCTTGCTGACTTTGACTTAAAAGATTATCATCCACAAAATTTATAAGAAATTATGAAGATAAACATAACTGCTCATCGACTTGGGATACTTGATGTTATAAATGGATTCTATTGCTCCCGCAGCAGCAATAACCCAACAACAATATAATAGAAAAAAAAATAAAACTATCACCATACAAGATTTATTATATTATGAATATTCATAATTTAAAAATTAAAAAAAACTCATATTTATTTAATTGTTTTAAACAGAAGGCAAGCTAAACATGATAAATTATTTTTTTAAAAAAATACAAATATTGATCTATACTTTTTAAAAATCAAATTTATAATCCTCTAAGCTTTTACCACAACTTTCAAAATAGTTTTTAAAAATGGTAAAGGAAAACCAAAATTTAGTTTTAGATATAAATATATAAATTAGTTATATATAGATATATATATATCTATAATATTTACTAGAATTTCCTTGACTTCCAACGGATGTAATTATATTGCGACAGTAGTTGCTACTTTAGCAAATTCATATTAATTTTTTTGCTACTTTTGCAAATGCCCCCATGTATATTTAATGGTTAGAAAAAATATTTGTCATATTTGCAAATATAAGTAATAACACTCTAGCTTTGAAAATATGGAAAAAAAAATTTTAATCATAATTTTCATTTTTTTCCTCTGTTACTCTAATTTTGTCCTCATTACTAATATATTTCATATAAGATACATAGTGATATAACCGATATACCTTTTTGAAAAAAAATAGATATATAACTAATATTACGATATACTTAATATTAGTATATCAACACGAGAGTATAATCGACTTTTCAATTTTCACATGAGGAGCTAGAAGGGTCTCAACTCGAGTAATGGGGTGCCAACCATCATCTATTGAAATAGAATATCGCACAAAACCCACTCAAGCAACCACCATGAAGTTGGTAACTATGTTTATTACTATCACGTATGATTCATCTTCACCGATGGAGTTAGAATAATTTTTAGGATCGATAAATTGTCCGAAGTTTAAGTCCTCCTAGTATTTTTAGTACTCACCCCTTTTCTTGTTTTTTTCCTCATAGAACGAGTGACTAATATTTTTCGGCTGTGTCGTGGACGAGACGACACTTCCATGTCGGCATTCATTTTTATTGTTGTTATTAGTTTTTATCGTTAATTTGCTTAGTTATTTCAAAACTTTATTAATTTTGGTTGTTTATCATTCAACTTTACTTTATTCCAATATTTTCCTTTATGAATTGTATGGGCCTAAATAAAGTTTTGATTATTTTACGGGATGTTATTATTACTACTATTTCATTGTGATTTCAAACGTCGTTGTCCTGCATGTAGTACCGCATTTAAAAAGCTTAGTCGTTATAATAAAATTTTCAAAATATTCAATCTTGTCAAATATTTTTTTTTTTGTTTTTTTTTTCTCAGAATGATTTATATACCGCATCTCATGTTAGGAAGATTTCTCAAGAATCACCTCATTATTTAGCAATTATATTATGAATGAAAGGATTTGCTTGCTATGAATCGTATCCTTCCATGGATATGCAGTGTTTACAGTCATGTGTTGTTTAATGGAAAATAAATAACCAATGACTTCTAAAATAGAGTGGCCTAAAATGATTGACTCAAATTTTTTGTGTGATGTCTATCAAGGAAGCTTCGACGACCAAATCAATGAAGAGTAATGTATGATGTAATAGAGCGCAAGATTGCACGATTTTTTTCTATGACATATGAGAAGAGTTGAGGATAGGGGTCATGTTGGTCGGTTGGGGTTAGTTTTTTCACAAAACCGACACTAAAAACCGAAAACCAAAAAATTGTGGCTGAAAAGACCAAAATGCATAAGAGATAACTAAGATGGAGAGGAGGGAAGAAATGAAGAGGGGAAAAGAGACGGAAGAAGAAATGAGATAAGAAGAAATTAAAGTGAAAGAAAAATGAAATGAGACAATGAAAAAGGAAATGAGAGTGGGGGAGAGTGCAAAGAAGGGGGAGGGGAGGGAACACGGAGACAAAGGAAAAAAAAAAAAAATGGTTTTCTTCTATTGGAAAAGAGGATTCACGTGAATCTGAGGAAGATATTTTTGTTTTATACATCAATGGAACGGTCAGATGGGGCTTTCCAACCACATCGATCCACCGAAGTATCAGTTTTTTATTTTAAAAAATCGACGCCAACTGAAAATTGTTCTAAACCGACGTCAGTTTGGTCAGTTTCAGTCGATTTCTCATTTTTCGGTTTGGTCGGCTCACTTGTAGCCAAGGATGTAAAGGGCCATAACTTGAATCTTCCCTCTGGACCCATATGGTCTTCATGCTTAGCTAGTGACGGTTAGATGGTAAGCAATTTAGGGAGGTGTCAGTCCATACGAATTGTTTCTTTTTTCTAAAATCTCACCAACAACAGTGGTCCCCCTACTCCCCAGCTTGGTAGGACGAGCGAGCTGCTCTTCTAAAAACTTCTCTTCCTGCTGGCTAGATAGTGCTTTAAATGTTTACTTTCTAGCTAAATTTTTGCACTGTTCTAGAGTTTTTTTTCCCCCTTTTTTTTTCTTTTTTGTAGGGAAAGGCTTCCTGATTGGTGGGACAACCCACTAACCTCAGTGGGCTCCCACAGCCCTTCTCGACATGTCAAGTCGATAGGTTGTCAGTTGCTGCAACACGTGTCTACAGGTGACATCGTCCTCCTCTATAGCCACCAAGAGACTAGGGTATCCTAGTTCAAGATCCTTGTAAGCATTTAAGAGGATCACTTAAACTACTTTCATAAATGGAACTGAGTTTCATCTCATTCATATTGTCACGCTCACTCACATGAATCAGTATATGAAAGAACACCATAACATACTCAAGATTGGGATTATCTTGGTCATATATGTATCCATACACAGAGATCAAGTAGCTTGCTTGAAATTTGTTGATGGGAAGTTTTGACTTCAGGTCACACCTGAGTTGGAGAAGGTGATGACACTTACTACGCCCTAGCATGTTTCCACTCGTTCAAGAGCAAAGCTTCGAGTGATTCAAATTTGCATGCTTGTATTATGAGTAAATTAACTACATGACCGCAAAGTTGAAGCTCATGTTTAGGCTTAAATTTGGGTGTAAAAACCGACTTGTTCAAGGTTCAACCATTTGAGCAGCATGATAACAAGTTGAAGCTCCAACACAAACCTAATCTTGGGAGTAAAACCGACTTGTTTAGGGTTATATCTACACTAAGATGCATGATGATAGTCAGCTCCTGTTCGAACTCAAACTTGGATGTAAAAACTGACTTGTTTAAGGTTTGGACAAGCAAAGCTATATAATGATAGGGCCAAAGCTCATTCTCGAACTTGAACTTAGGTGTAGAAACCAACTTGTTCAATGTTAGGTCGAGCTTAGCTACACAATGATGAGGTTGAAGTTCGAACTTTAACTTAGATTGAAGTCCATCACTCCATCCCCACTCGGATTGAGGACTCATCTTGGGGTAGGCTTACTATGTTTACCATCGATCATTGCACATTCTTTTGCTATTTTGTTCTCAACCATTATGGGTTTAGTGTACTCGGCCAACATAAATAGTCAAGGATTTAAAGAGGATGAGTTCAAACCATAATGGTCATTTATCTAGAATTTATTATCTTACGAATTACCTTGACAATCAAATATATTTGGGTCAGGCAATGGTCCATGAGCATAGTCAAGGTTCCACCAGCTGACCCAAGAAAAAAAAGTATTTCATTCTTGCTAAAAATGGTGGTTTGGCGAACTAAAGCCATATTATATCTTGATGTTTGTATCTGGGTAGTTTGAAGAGCCTAAAAGAATTTGTGGCTTCACATGCAGAGACGGCTATATGACTATCTAGTTCGCATCAAAAGTCAACTATAATTGCTAGCATGTCAACTAGGACATAAATTTAACACCCTAATTGTGTAACTATAGTAAGATTGAAGAAGAAAATTAATTATTCAATGTGCTAATTTATCCAAGAAGAAAACTACCCTTTACCCTAAACTCCACTGGTTATTCGTGGCTGCAGATTAAAATTTGGAGACAGCTAACAATTAGTTACAGGTGGGACACTGAGTTTTGTGTGGTCTTTCTTGGTGTCTACATTCAACTATACAATTATTTACTAAAGTTAAAATATGTAGGCGAGTTTCCAACAATGGAATCCCCTATGTGATTTTGGGTAAAACGCAAACTTACTTGATTATTGTTGTTCTAGGACCGGGACAGATGAGAAGGAACAAACAGAGGCCTCTACCTTGGTCTTATTATCTCTGACCTTCATCAATGTCACCTTCCAAATCTTGAACAAACTCTGCCTGCAAGAGATCACAAAAGAAGAGTTCATACAAGGATAATGGAAACCGATTATGAACTGGTAAAATATGTGATGATGTAGCAACTATAAAAAAATGAGAATTCTGACATATGTCAAACTATGGATGAAAGTACAGCATGGTCCTCTAGAAACTAGACCAAATCGGGGACCAAAAGAATAGCAGTTCCTCACAAATCTTGTCCCATTCCAGATTTCTCCCTAAAATGTGGACGACTCATAAAAGAGATCGCCACTGACAAAGGTGATATGATATATATCCATGATAACTTAAAACCATTCAATGAATTTGCACCAAGATTCAGTGAGACAGCAACAGATTAAATGAAACGATGATCAAGGATTGCTTCTAAAACGATCCTAGACATGCAAACTATCACTTGCCACTTGGACAGCATGTAGGGAACAACTTAGAATAACCTTGGAGATTCATATCACCAAAGATGTGCCTTCCTTCGACAATCCCCAAAATCTTTTGCAGACAATGTTCTTTCTTACAGATGTTATCAAACTCAAGATCGTCTGACTCCTTAGGCATAGAGATTGTAGGCCAATCTAACGAGTGGAACCTCACTCTTCATCATGATTTTTTAAACAACTTCGTTATTTTGGAAGGGATCCTAAACAGAAGCACAAAAGTGGAACAAAATGGTAAAAGGCCTTCATAAAACAGAGTGGGGGAAAATAACCCAGTGCAGTGCAGAATAATTTTACAAGTTATGTCAGTCAATCCATAGATCTCAAAGAGACTCTTATCTTCTATCTCTGAAAGTACAGTTAATATCCTATGCCATATCCAATTCTTTCCATAACAATTGAGAATGCATAATCCATTAACAATGATATCCAATGACCTGGGGTAAAGTTGGAACATAAAGGTGGGAGGAGAGGACACAAGGTCACACCAACTCAACCAAATACCAAATACCCAAATTGCTCAGGGTTTACACCATAAAGTATAAACAAATACTTGTATGCAAAAGAATATAAAATAATGCTAAAAATCCTAAGAGTCTAAAACATGAAAATGAGGAGATCCAATTTGAATATAATCTCAATTCCATATCAGATATAAATAAATCCAATTTATGCATGCATACATACAGGTCAAATTTGAAAAATTAAAAGAATAGAGAACAAGAAATAATTGCCTCTCCGGTTCAACTGTTCGCTTGGCGAGCATCAAAGTTAAGAAGACAGGAACCATAGCAGCACATAAGTGCTTGAGTGTGTGACCACTAACAATATGATATGTCCAATTATATATCATTTTATCACTAGCTTCTTCTACCTTTGCTAAGAGATAAAATCCTGCAAGAACAAAAAGTATTCATTATCACGTATTACCAACACTAATAAGAGACATAAAACAGCAATAGAAAACCTTAAATCAGTAACTTACCTGCAGCCCATAGCCAGTAGGTAGAATGTGTATACATTGGGGGCAGCAAAATAGTCATTAATGGAATAGCAATACAAGGAACAAACTGGACAAGTGCATATGGACGCAGATCATCAAACAAGCTGCAAAAGAAATAGGCCAATGTCAATCATGTGCAACAGGAAACCCAGACGAGAAATTCTCTAAGCTCATTCCAGAATCAAGCTATTTCAAGCATTTAAATGATGAGGTAATTTACAATTTGAAAGTTTGAAAGCATCTTTTCAAAGTTTTTTCCTACTTCATTTTGACCATCCAAAAAGCAAAGAAAATTCATAATTCTAAGCAAGAGTTTATTTGTATTGAAAGGCATAATACACAAGCTCAGATAGCAATTTAAACAAGTGTTTCATTTGTAATACTAATAACTAATAAGGAATTACTTGGGTTTTGGCGTTTTGCCTATCGGTCATCATACTGCGTTTATACAAAGTTACAAACCTATCACTCCCATGAAACCATAAATGGTATATTACTCCATGAATCTCAGAATCCAAACTATTAGTAGCAAAACCAACTTTCCGCTGATCCAAAAAAAAAAAAAAGCTTCATGCTGTTGAATTCTCTTAAAGCAGTGTTGAGTTTAACTAATAAAACACTAATTGTTAAGAGAAACAATTTGAAGACACTTACCACCAATATAAAATGCTAACTATACCGACCAATAATAAAGGTATGATGGACAATTTTCCCCTCTGTTCATCAATCCTTTCAATTATAAAGATTGATATGATTGAAGTGAATGCAATAGTCATCTACAATAGCCATAAGAGTCAATGAGTTAAGATTACAACACACTGCATACAATATCGTTAGATGATCTAAAATAATCTAGATAAGAAGTGATACTCCATAATAGGAAGTGACTCACAGGTAAACGATCCCAAACAAGGCGAGCATCATTTGGCTCAAGATGATAATACGACGACCCAATGGCTACAAGAGCCACACCAATATAAAAGCAAGTCCAACCATAAAGCTCACCTTGCAAACTTCAGAAAACATAATTGATTGAAAATTAATAATAATCATACAATAATTACTTAATCATAGAAGATCTAACAATTAGGAAAGAAACATGGTAAATGATGTCAAAAGAAATGCACCTCAGCCTAAAGTAATTCTCATGATAGCAAAGCACAAGGCCTATGAGACCAATAACCAAGAAGGGAAAATTTGAAACCACGTTCAGTGCATTCGGTATACCTGAAAAGGAAAGGACAAAAAATTCCTGACATCAATATTGAACTATGTAAAACACCCACCAAAGGAAAAATATGTACAACAACAAAAATTGTATTAAAAAACAAAAGAGGAAGAAGAAATGCTAATTCAAAGCAAGCCTCGTGTAAAACACCGATCATACTTGACGCATTGAATAACAAAAAAGTCATAGCCCCGTGGCAATGAGAGAAAAACATAAAAGAAATAAATTCAGCAGCAGTAAGCAACAGCAGGGTTTAAAGAAATTCCTTCGCGCCAGAGTTTTAGCACCCAAAACCCCAATTCCGAGAGAAGTAAATCACTCAAGGAGTGATCAAATTTTTCGTTATCTTCTACACAAGTGATATTGGAAGGGAATTCCAATGAATTGGAAGAGCGAGGGCATATGATTCGGAGAGAAAAATGAAGAAACAAAAAACTGGAAGGGGAGAGAAATTGACCGAGAAAACGGCGTTGATCGGCGAAATCGTGGTACTCCTGCGATTGAGGGATGGCTGGGGTAACGATCATCAACACGACGAAGCACACGATTGCAACAAGCCATGCGTATATGGTGGTTTTATTCATTTCTTGGTCTGAATTTCTGAAATCGTCAGCTCCTCGTCGTCTTCTCCGTCGTTTCTCTTTCAGCTCTGCAATTGCCTTTCCGGTAGAGACTCTTGAGATTCCCTCCGCTGGGCCCAATTGGGCCGTCTTCACTTGGGCTACGGCCCACCAATTAATACAGTAGACTAGACCTCAGTCTTGGCGACTATTGCAACTTCCGACCTTGAAAATGTTTTTGAAATATTAAATTGGGAAATCCTGAGGAGTGACTACATACAAGATGATAATGAAAAATGGCAAAGGTTTCGTAATTTTAAAAAAATGGTTAACACCATTCTTTTTTCGAAAATTATGCAGGGTAGATTTCTGTATTTATCCCTCCAACACCAGTCCGTCATTTGTCCATTTTATCCCTCCTATATTACTTTAGCGTGTAATTTGTCAATTTTATCCTTTATACATTAGTGAAACACAGATTTTGGTTTAATGTCAAATTAATATCCCTAAAATCAAGCTCACTTGAATTATGTTTTAAAGTAATTAAAAATGAAATCATTATCTCTCTATCTATATAAACCGAAATTCTAGCTATTTTGAATCATGTTTCAAACTAATTAAAAATCAAATCTTCTCTCTACCTTACCTAAACCAAAATTTTAGAAACTAGATTTATATCCTGTTTCAAAATTAAATCAATCCCTCTTCGCCCGATTTAACTCATTCCAACAACCTTATTTTTGTCATCCTGTCTCGCTAATCTTCTATTTCATTGCATGGGTCCTCTTGCTAATGTTCATCATGCATCAATCTTGTTTTCCATGGAAATTTCTCTATAATGAGTTAAATCCTAATCGACCCTGAGTAAGGCAATTTTAGCCTTACCTGGAATTACAAAGTGCCACATGTGAGTGAATCTGATGGCGGTGAATGAGAATGAGTCAATGAAGGATAACATCGGGTGTGACCACGACGTAACGCCAATAAATAATAGTGTTGGCCATCATGTAGAAGACAAATAGTGTACCAATGATCTCCAATTTCTAAGCTATGCGCAGTCCACTCTTTAATTTTTTTAAAAGAAAATCTACTTATGATCTTCTTCATATTGTTACGGCTATTTTTTGTCGTGAAAATGCAACTTTCAGAGAACATTTTAGCAATTGGAGTGCTATGGGCACTACTTTTGCCGAATTACATGGTCGGTAACTTTGTGCATACATACCCCATATATAGTTACACGTACAGAAGAAGTGAAAGTCTAAATGGCTATTTTCTGTCGTGAAAATTCAAATTTCAGAGGACATTTTAGCAATTGAAGTGGTTTGGGCTCTACTTTTGTCGAATTACATGGTCAGTAACTTTGTGCATACATACCCTGTAGATAATCCACATACAGAGGAAGTGAAAGTGTATTTTTGGTCATCAAAATTCAAATTTCATAGGACATTTCAGCAATCAAATTGGTGTGAGCCCTACTTTTGTCAAATTACATGGTCAGTAACTTTGTGCATACAGACCCCATAGATAGTTCCACATTCAGAGGAAGTGAAATGTGAATGTCACTCAAGTCATGCAGACGCACATTCGCAAACTCTATAGAGACTGTAATGGATAGCACACAAAAAGCATAAGAGAGTGACGGCCATTGTAAACTCAACAGAGACACTGTGTTGGATCGGTATGGCAACCCTAAAGGGGGGATGAATAGAGTTTAATTAACAAAATATAAACTTTTTAATAAATTGGCCCAATTTAAACAAAAATAATACAGTTTTTGAGATATGCAATTTTAACAAAGTAAGATAAAATAAATTTTAAGGCAAACAAGAGAAATTTAAAGCAAACAATGAAATTCTAAGATTAATTGCAAAAATAAATAAGAGAGAGGGTTAGAGAAATTTGACACCGGGAATTTTTATAGTGGTTCGGCACAACTGTCCTACTCCACTTCCCAAGCACCTCTTGAGTTGTAAATTGAAATTCTGACTCTTTCCAAGGTAGGAGTCAAATCGGTACACTACTCTTCACAAGAGCAAAGACGATCCTCTCCACGATGAGAATCACACCGTTATAATGAGTTGAAGATTTTGAAACACACACTTACAAACTCTCAAATAGAGTAAATATACAAATTTGAGATCACTAAAATTTCAATCCTCACAACAATAAATTTCTCTCACAAATAAGATGGAAAGAAAAATTGAGAACTTTGAGAGATTAGCAAATAAGAATTTTGAAATTATGGAGGATTGAGAATAAGAGAATTGTTGTATAATTTTAGATGAGAAGTTTAGTTTAAATAGAGGGAAGAAAATGGTAAAAAATCAAGTTTAATTTTGAATCATTTGATCTTAATTATTAAAAATGAAGGGTTGAGATAATTTTAAAAAAAAAATAATTAAGAATAATATATATATATAAATAAAGATGTGACGAGTTTTGAATTATATATATAATAATAATAATAATATAAATAAATATGTGACAAGTTTTGAATTATATATATAATAATAATAATAATAAAATAATATATATATATATATGTGTGTGTGTGTGAGAAAACGGTAAAGTTTTCAATTTTTTTTTTAAACAAAGTCACCGTTGTAACTTTTTGAATTTTTTTTTAATCTTTTTCTTTTTTTTTCAATATATATATTTTAAAAAGAAGCTTGTCACTTGTCAGCTTACGAATTATCCAGGTCATCTTCTCGGGTATTTTTCCTTTCAATTTGTTTTGATCGTAACTTCTCCGTTTGAGCTCCGATTTGGATGATCTAGTAGTCATTGGAATTGTTGTAACGAGCTCTATGCTGTGGACACTTTAAAATACAAAAAATGTCAATAAATAAAATTAAGTTTGTTATCATCAAACATATTAATTAATTAATTAAAATTAATTAATTTGAGATTAAGGCCAAAAAGCCAACACACTGTAATTGGACAATATTATAGAATCAATATTAGTTATGACAAGGCCCAGAAAGGAAGGAATAAGGCTTTAAACTCATTAAGTGGGTCACCTGAACAGTCATATGCTCTCATCTCATCTTTTGCAGTCAGGCTGATCGAGAAAAATTCATGCATCGCATGTTTCTCTATTTACTCTGTCTTTATTCTATCTATACGTGTATTTACCCTATATATGTCTCCTAATGTAGCTATCCCTCCATAGTTTTAAAAATAATATTTGATTTACTCATTTTTCACTTTTCTATATTGATTTTACGTTTTGTTAGGTCATTTTTTATATTCTTTTGCCTCTTAATTTTTTTATTTCAAAGTATTCATTTAATAGATTTTATTTTTGAAATTTTAAACTTTAAAAATTTAATTCACTAATATTTCCTAAGTTGCAGCAAAAAGTTGTTTCAAGGGTATTTTTGCCATAAAATTTTACGGGTAATTGTTGGATAATTTTAGCTATTTTGGTGGGAGGGTATATTTGTCTACGTAAAATTCTAGCATTGAACTATAACTACTTTGTAGCCATTTTTATGATATTGTATACTTTTGGCTATTTTTCAACTGATACTATTTAACATAGTCATTCCTCTAGTTGTCCCATAAATTATTAAGGGGCAACCAGAGGAGTGGAAAAATGGCCAAAATAATCCAATATCATAAAAATGAGGGAAAATTTCTAGTGCTCCCATAGTATGTAATCTTCCATACTACTCTCATTCCTTTTATGTCATGTGTATCTATTTGTTATACAAATAAATATATGAAAAGTGGACCCCACAGAATTTTAAATTCTAAAAAAAAATTTGTACCTATACATTATCTCTCATGTATAAAATACAGCCCCACAAGATTTTAAATTATTTACGTATAACATTTCCTTTTCTTCCTTTTTTTTATCTTCTTTTGTTTTTTTTTCTTCCTTTCATTTTTTTCATTTATTTCTTTCATTCGAAACATTTTATCACAATTATTTTTATTCGTAAGTTTATTTCAAATAATTAAATAATTATTTTTCTCATCTAATAATATTATTATTTTATTTTATTTATTAATTGACATGTTAATTTATTTGGTAATTTATTTTGCTCTATTAAATCAACATTATAATTAGATTTTGTTTGTTATTCATTTAAATATTTTATTTATTTGTAATCTTATTTTAAAATAATTAGATAATCGTTTTGTCCAATTTGAAATATTATAATTATTTTTTTATCTATATGCATAAAGAAATTGTATACATCGTTATATAAAAACAAAACGTTAAAAATTATATACTTAACAAAACTATAAATTAAGGTAACGTATTTTTTGCGAATGATAGGACAACATTTCATTTAAAAAAAACTTTAAATGTAAAAAATATAAATACAATTTTTATCTCATATATCATATCTTCACGTCAAAATCATTTGATTTCAACCATCTCGCTTCTCGTCTTCATTTAAAGTTGTGTTTGTTTGAGTGAATCGGATCCCATTATAATTTGGAGGATGTTGGCATTGGGAATCCAATTTGGATAAAGTATCTACATATATCCAATAATCAAATATCAATGATAATTTACCTACATTAGAAAATACATCAATACTTGTTTGAAAATTCAATATTGAATGATATAATAAAGTACATAGCTTAATGGAAGCATTGACAAACTAGTATTATAAAATGATATATTTGAAGAGACATTTGCTGGATAAGAAGTTGAACATCCAAATGCAAAATTAGAATTCTTCGCCGAGACATTTGACAACTTAGCATTTCCATCTACAAAAATAAAAAATATAGAAATCAATATAGAACTTGTAAAAACATCATTAAGAACCTAAAGCAATTGACAAAATTACAAAACAATTAAATATATATATATATATATATATATATATATATATATATATATATATATAAACTAACCACTGTCAATTCCTTTCTTCGAAGGTTGATCTCCAACAGCTACTGGCTTTTTCTTCCGTTTCTTCTCAAGTTGATTTTTCATTCTAATATTTCAGACTTGTTTTGTTCTTCCACGAGGAGTATTCAAAATAGGAGATGACTTTGATTCATAAGTTCTGCTTTCAATATATTTTTCTTTATCGATGGTTCCAAAATCTTTAACTACATGAATACCATTCATTTTCAACGCCTTTAA